TTTGAGCAGCAGCAGCATTTATTCATGGAAAGTGGCTATTTTATCAAAAATTTATATTAATATTGGAATTCTAAACAATATTCTACTGTACATTATGTTTATGACACAATTCATTTTGATTATTTTATTATTGGTTATCATCATACATCAAACTTTTAATATTCAATAACAATTTAACTCAAGAAGAATCACATTACAGATTATGTTCATTTTTTAAGGAATATTTTATGATTTAAATTTGTTGAAAGAAGTTAGAAGGAAGATGTCTCAGTTTAATTAATGATAAAGATGATAAAAATCTGACATTTGTTGATAGTAAAAGATAAGTTTGTATGTAGACGTTGATTATTAAAAAACTGTTTAATGTGTGATATCAGTGAAGTATTGTATTTAGTTATTTGAACAATGATAATGATCCATATTTGTTTTTTATACTAATGGAAAAATTAAGAATATAATAAAACTTCAAATATACAGTTTATGGTGCACTCGCTAATCTGAATTGTTACTGTTAAATTATATTGTTTTTATTTAAAAACATATTGAAAGTCAAATGGTAATGCTCTTATCTAAGTTAAGTTTTATTAAGTTATTTTATATATTTGTGATTATTATTAAAGTTAAGTAAAACTAGTTAATTTGCCCCTCAAGAACATTGAATTGTAATTTAGTATGAATTTATTAAAATATTGTACTTAGTAATTAAGACAGATTTAGTGTACATTACAAAGTTTTGGTAGAATATCATTTTTATTGTCATTTATGTTTTTATTTTTTTAAACAATATTACTCACTGAACTTGAAGAAATTTTAAAGTAGTTATCTTGGTCATTTTTACTTTTCCATCTGTTTGTTATATATAACAGAGGGAAAGAATGGAAATTGGTCAAAAATGGTCCCCCAAGATTTTTACATTTTTGAACTTAGGACACCTTGAAACATTGAGAAATGCAAAAAAAATTTGTGGGTAATTTCTGTATGTATGGATGTTAGCGCGTGTGTATGGGGGACATCATTTTGTTCACCCTCTTTGAAGTTTAATAACTTCTGTGCTTATTGTCAAAAATGTCTTCTATTAATTTGGTGATTAATTAATTAATTAATAAAGTTGTGTGTATCTTACTTAAGGATCAAACTTAATGATGATTTTACTTGTTACTAGCATTTACAATTTTTAATAAAATCCATCCCTATCTTCAAAATTAAACTTTTTGCCATTTTATAATAGTTAAAAATATAAAAAGATTTTTAATAAAATATGAAAACAGATGGTACCACCAAAATTTTAAATATTGCCAGGAAAGTTGAGCAACTCATTGCCGTTTTAACAGTTAAATATTAATTCATTTGTATTGAGTAATAATTTTTATGCTTCAACTTAGTTTTAAATACTGAAACACTACAGTTTTGAAGCACATTGAACAGGAAAGAAGAATTGATTTGCAAGTAATTTTGGTAAAAACGAAAGTATTGTTCTGAAAATTTTTTCAAAAAACTACATGAAATTTATGTTTAAATTTAGATTGAAAAAGATAATAAAATGGAAGAGTTACAGTTATTATACAATCTTTTTAAAATACGTATATATCATTCCATTATTTTTAATAATGACATTGATAAGTAAATATCAACTTTTGTAAGATTAATGTAAAAATATATATAATTTTACAGAAAAAGCAAGATAAATAATAATTACTAAAAAAAATAACTACCTAAAGAACAATTAAAATTTTAGTTGAACAGAAATTAAAATCTTATTATATTTACATATAAATTCAAGCTTTCTTTGTAGTGGATGAAAGTGTTATGTCACAAAATCAAAGTTTTGAGTGAGGTTTTGAGTTCAAGTTTGTATTATGTAATTATTGCAGTATAAATATATCCACAAAATAGTGTGTTGCAGAGAGTACTAGTGTGTTAAATTTTTAAGATCTTTGTTGGTGGTATGTAAGAAACATATACATTGCACTTTAATCCATGCAAGACAATTGGATTTTAATTTGGTTATATTGTGTTAATTGTTTCTTCTCTAATGTGGTACCTGTGCTTGCAAAAATCACATTATTAAATTCAGCACAAGGTTTATAGAACATGAGTTAGGAGCAAAATATTAAAAACTTAGTTTTACAAAATGTTTTATTTTAAGCTTCTTCTTTATAATTAAAGTTTTCCTTTTTTTATTCACTAATTTTTTTCTTAATAACTAGGATACTTGCTTATGTTTGGAAAACTGTATTAAACACTTTTATCAAGAAGCATGCACAAATTGCATGCTTCTTGGAGAATAGCATGATAATGCACCTCTTCATGCATACATATAAGCTAGGGTAAAAGACGTGATGTGTAATTTTTGTGTTCTTCTCTGCTGATTTATTAAGACTGGTGGCAATTTTTTTCCATTCACCCAGTCTTACTTGATATAATCACCTCATGCAAAATCACACAGGATCTCGCATGATTTTACATTTTGGCAATTTTATTCCTTATTTATCTACCCCGTATGAACAGATTTGTGCATTAGAAATATGTATTACAATAGAAGAGACTAATTGAAGGTTGATATATTGAGGAAGACTACAAAAGTGTTACATGCAAAAATATTCAATGTAATTGATTATTTTTTCAGTTTCTGAATGTAGTAATTAATGGAGATAATTCTATAGTTATGTTTGTATAATGTATATATTTTTCAACTTCATTGATACATTGCTCATTAGACTGTGTGAAAGACCAAACATTGTAATTCATATAATAAAATTTCAACAGATATTTTATGTATGGTATTTGAGAATATTAATTATTGGATTAAACTGTCACAGAATTTTTTTCTAGTTTATGCTTGCAGAAAAATTGTTAAATAAAAACAAACAGAAAATAAAAATATTCTGTTTACCTAGCAATTTTTTTTTTCATCATCTGTTGTCCCATTGCAGAAAATAGAAATTCAAATATCTATTATAGCTGTCATCAAAACAGATGTCATTCTAAGATGGATGATATCAAAGGTGATAGCAAATTGCTGTTTATCCAATGTACTGTACATACTTGTGTTCAATTTTTTTTCTACACTTCTCAAAAGTTGAATAGAGATGACATCTAAAAAACTCTAATATAATGGTACACCTGCATTTCGTTGTCTGCCATATTGATCAGTTGATGTCACAATTGTCTGGACAAACAATATTTTACAACATTCTCCTTTACTGACTTTTTTGCATTTGATGATGGCAACAGAAAAGTTCATTATTTTCAAAACAGAAAAACCTATGATTACATTTCTGTAATATTTTTTCATGGATGGAAAGTAGAAATTAATTTGAAGATTTGAATTTATAGTAAGTGCACCTATTGATATTAATGTTTTATTTAAATTTCTATTTAGTAACTGAAATAATTTGTTAAAAATAGTGATCTTCATATAAGTTAATTTTAAATTACAGAAGTTTTAGGTTCTGGACATCACTTTTTTATACCTTCACAAAATATTTTGAATACATCATTTTTCATTTTTTTTTAATTAAAATTAAAAATTTCTCTTATTATAACTTGAATATAAGAAAGATGAAATTTTTCATAATTATTGTGTAATTTATTATAGGCCTAATAAATATTTGACAAAGTTGTCCTAAATTTCAAAAATTAAAATTTTAAATAAATATAAATCTTATATTGATAATTAATGCAAATATTGTTTTAAAAATAGTTAATAATAAAATAATCAGAAAATAATTTATATTACTTATTTTCTGATGGACAAAATAATAAAATAAATTTTAAACTTTTTCATTTTTATCTTTAATTTTACTCAATCAGTACTGATAATTCAGCCTATGAATTATCAGAAATGATTGAATACAATTAAAGATAAAAATGAAAAAGTTTAAAATTTATATTATTATTTTGTCCTTGTATTTTATCTTGTACTTTCACCTGTTTTACTTTTTATCATAACATTTTCTGAAGTTTTTGCTTGTGGAAATTGATCAAAATGGTTATATATATATATATGTGAGTATGAGATTATTGCTAATTTTGGATTGGTTATTCATTTTAAATGCAAATATTTAACTTGGCTAAAATAACTTAAGTACTTTTATCTCCAGGGATATAAACAGTTACAAAGAAGAAATATAAATTTTATATATAAACGTCAAACCTGATAGTTATATATTAAAGCCAAACAATTGCCAGATTATATCAACTATACTTCTACTAATACTATTGATTACTACTACTATACAAAGAAGTAATATTTTAATTATTTAGAAAAGTGACTGTTTCAATTTAGAATAGTGTGTGATAAATATATTAAATCTGTATTTGTTTGCATATTAGCTTAATGTCAATAATAAAATTTTTTAAAATTATGTTTGGAGATTTATCACTATATTATACATAAAGGAATAAATAAAATGGAATATGAATGTAATTTTTATTGTGAAGAAAATATGCATCCAATCATAAATTGTTCAGTGAAATAATACATAATATACTGTTTCTCTCTAAAAAGATTATATTAAAGGCACGTGATTATTTCATTTATTTGAAAGACTTGTAAAATGTTTTTGCAACTTCTCCCATCATCAGATCAAAAAACATTTAATGAATCAGATGATGAAAGGGAATAGTCACAAAAAATATTCTATCCAATAAAGAAACTTTGATTCCTATAATCTTTATAGCATTCTTTTCCCTTATAAAGCCAGCAAAATACAGTTGAAGAATTAAATAAGTATTCTAAATATATTTAGAAAATAATTATTTCAAATGTTTCTACTGGAACCTCTGTCCAAAATTATAAACTCACTATTTTTAATAATGGTGTGCTAACTGATAATGGTTGTGCTAATGTTTTTAACTTTAAGATCTTTGGTCTTTTGGAAAATGAATGGTTTTGATACAAATTAGAACAGAATATTTAATATTTTAATTTTATAATCTAAAAAGTTAGTATAAATTTTCTATATTATATTATCTATTAATTATTTTGTTATTTTCAGAATCTTATGGAAAAAATGCATCAATCGAACTACCTGAATGTAAATTAATAAAAAAGAAATGAACAATTAGAAAATTTTAGTTTATAAATTTTGAGGGATGTTCCATGGCTGACCCATTTATTACTGCTGTTGAATTAACAGTATGTCTTCCATTTATAATGAAACTCAACCTTTATTAGAGAGCACAATGGCAAAAGGGTTAAACTGGAAGGATGTGGATCAGGACGGCCATCTATCAGACGTTCAAATCAATGTGGACATACACCACAATGGATTAAGCCGCAGAGAGAAAAATGGAGATGTCCTTGAACTGACGTCACCAAAAGAGGAGCCAAATTTTCGCCCGGAAAAATGGAAGACGCTAGTGGCATTTGCATTTCTTTCAGCCAATCTCATCTTTAACTTGATGTGTTTATCCATTGTTCATGAGAGAGTTCCAGACAGAACAAAATATCCCCCATTACCAGATATATTCTTTGATTACTTTCCTCCTGCTGACTGGGCATTAGATGTATCTGAAATTATTATAATGATAGCTACATGGAGCACTCTAATATTAATCTTTTTTCATCGTCACAGGTGAGTCGTTTATAAAATATTTTGCTAATTCTGAAAAATCTTAACATTATTTATTAGGTCTAATGTTAGAAATATTTTTGAATATTAGTAATGATGAAATCAAATACAGTTTTCTTTTTAAGAATTTACAAACCAACAAATGCTCTAAATAATAATAATTATACAAACAACTTTGGATCAATTTAAAGCCTATGGTTTTTTAAATCCATTCAGAGACAGAAGGTACACAACATGAAGATAAAATACAATTCATTAAAATAATTGATTATTTGACATTAAAAACACATACTTAATACACTTGATGTTGACCTGTTATTGTAGGATCCGGGGCCAACTTTCACCCAGCACTGAAAGTTTTCATAATATCAATCAAGTCACAGTTGTATTTAAATGATGAAAAAACCATTCTGGAATCCTCTGGTGGTCACAAACTACTAAAACAATTAAGAAAATTATTGCAGAGTGCCATCTGGTAAACGTTTGTAGATGTTTCTGCAAACAGTTATTACTAATTGAGTTAATGTTTTGCACCAAGTCTGCAAGATGTCATGTCTTATCACATTGAATTGAAAATGGAAATAAAATTATGTAAATTTTATAATATTTTGTGGCACCCCTGTGAGAAAGCCATGGCTCTGTAAAGTGCTACAGTGCACACTTTGGGAACTGCTGGTGTTTTATATATATATATGCATGCACACACACAAATATATGCTTAAGTATTCTGCTTAATAAATAGAATACCCATAAATGCGGGGGTTCCACAGAAAAATTTTCCATGATTATCGTTTGAAGACAATTACATTAATACATTTTTTATTATTTAATTTTTTGGTTTTTTAAAGACAGTGTTTCATAGTCAAGGGTGTAAAGTCAATATCTCAATCATTTACAATTATAATTTGTGGAATTTTTTACTTGATCCTAGAGAGAGGCAAGTGCCTTGTTTGTCCCCTCTACAGATGCCAATGACAATGAAATATTATAAAGAATGTAGTTTGTTTATTATAATACTATAAATACTATAAAAATAGTAATTATAATCTGTTATTTAATAATAAAAATAATTTACGAATAATGATACAATATCATGTGATGTAATTTAAAAATAATGATACAATTGTGTATATTTATCATGAATTATGAAATATGCAAACTCACAATGTTTTAGTTATATTATGAGTTAGCTTATATGCATTATTCCATTCATTATGTATAGAAATCAAGAAAACAAATGAAAATTGATCATATTGACTTATAAACTGATTTGTCATGGCTCATATTTGATTGCAAGAGAAATGGATATGTCTGACTTTGAAGTTGTTATTAATTTGAATGTTTGGAACTTTTTATAACTTTCAAAACAATATTTACTTGCACTTGATAAATTATTATATAAGAAGGAAACAGTAATTTACTAATCTATATTATCAGTTTCACTGATGTAATCTTTAATTTTGATAGTTAATTTTGTCAATATCTCTTATAAAGTTCAATAAACGGAGTATATGTGAACTTAAAAGCATAATATTTGTGATAAGTTAGTTTAATCTCATGTTTTGTTAAAATAATGTAGATTGGTACAATAATCACAACAGATTATCAAATATTTGTGAGGGTATCTTTGAACATATATTGATTGTATTGTAGAAATTCTAGAACATTATCAGTAACATTGAAGTGAATAAGAAGAAATGACTAAATAATTTTAACATTTCAATGAATTTTACTGCATTATTAACTAATATTTTAAAAATATCAGATTGGAAAACTGTTTAAATTTAATGACTAATTAATAAATTTAGTAATTAATTTGGTTTTAAACAAACTGGACAGTGGAATTTGGAATTGCAGAACAAATTCAAGAAATGCAAGTTAGAAATTTAGTGTGATCATATGAGCAATGATGATATTTAACAACTGGCATTTTAGTATAAATTAATATTTAATGCAGATAATTGAAAAATGACATGTTTGCATGCATGTTAGCTAAATTCTTTTAGTTATTTGTAACTGTTTAAATATCAATTGGTTGATATATGTTGGAGCACACATCATTTCCATAATAATTACTAATATATTAAAAAAGATGAATACTTTAATAAAATTAATGTTTTTAACCAACTTTACTGGCCATCATCATCAGGTTTACAGCAAAATTAATGACAAATATAAGAAATTTGCAAAATTTGAACCAAAAAGAATATTAAACTTTGGAAGTAACCTAACAGAATCCATGATATGCTAGCAAATGCAAGTGACAACATTCAAACAAATAGATGTTCTTTTTAGATCAAATTTTATAAATTCTATTTTATGTTAGTCATTAATTTCTTTGTAACCTGACAATAGTTGATAAAGTTTGTTGAAAACATTAATTTTATTAGTGTTGATCCTTTTTGCTAGATTTTTTGGTTATTGTGATTTTTTATACTTGTTCATCCAGTTCTTTTTGATTGTTTTTATACTTCCAAAACAATTTTTGATTGGGAGGTGAGAGATTTTCTTTGACTCCACTGTCACTAGCTAAATTTTGCTTTTATCTGAGCCATAATTTGATATAACAAAATACATCAAACTACAGTTCTTTATGTCAGTTATCATAAAATTAATACTATAATACAGGGTGTCCAAAAAGTTACTGTGCAGTAAGAACTTTGTAAGTTATAAGTATGGCATTGTAAACAAGATCCATTAGTTATATATCCTGCATTTCCACTTTCTGATAGATGGCATTACTGCTCACTCCCAGATGTTCTGGTTTTTGGACTACAGTTTTGGAAAATTTCTTTGATGAAGAGTGCATAATTGCCCATGGAATCTGGCCAACTAGATCTTTGAACGTCATTCCTCTGGATTTTGGGGGCACTGGGTGACATTTCCAGCATTTGGTGTAGGAGAAACTTCAATATTGTACAGTAGACCCCTATAACACGGGTTCCTATAATTACGATTCCTATAAGATGGTGAAAAAATTGCGACGGTATCCGTACAAACCTGGTAAAAAACTCCTATAATTTGGTAAAACGTCATCGGGCAGTTACTTTCCGCTGTCCAGTGCCACGCTACTGCGAATTTAGGCAGGTAAATTGAGTTTACTATCGCCTGTACAGTATTATATATAAATTAGGTACTGTATATATAATTATATATTAACTTAATTTATTGTAACTTTATTATAATTATATATATATACTTTCTGCTGTCCAGCACCACGCTACGGAGAGTTTAGGCGAGTAAGTTGTTTACTATCGTCTGTACAGTATGTAAATTAGGTACTGTAAGTCTAATACAGTACTGTAATTTTATACATTTATTGTGAAAGAAATATTTCTTATCCAACGGCCATAAAAATTATTTATATTAATGATGTCTCCAAAGTTCAACGGAGTTTTCACAGAAAAATAACTTATCAGAAATTGCCCGCCCATTTGGTGTGTTGCTCCGCGACAAAAACAAGCTTGAGCAATGGCAACACTCAATGGTGTACACTCAGTAAGTAATCCTACAATTTTTTGTTTATAGCGTAGTTTATACAGATTATTCCCCCAAAAAATATACATATTTTGGAAATGTTAAGTCGAATTAGTCTAGAATCGATTAATTTTATGGAAGAAAACCTTTCAAACAGCTGTAGTTTGTAAACTTCACATGTGTTGGGCTGTGATTGGCAAGGACTTGTAAGAAATCAATTCATAAAGAACGGAATGTATCTACCATGTTATAGGGGGGTCAACTGTATGTAAAACTTTACTTTTAATAAAATGTAACTTAAACCTTTTTTCACTGCACAGTAACATCCTGTACTTTGGACACCCTGTACTTAACAGTATATTCCAGTATTCCATACTGAAATTTAGCTAAATTTTAATAAGTGGTTTGATGCTACTGGCTAAATGTCACTTTTTACATGCAAGGCATGCCTGAGAAAAAGTGGAGCATAGTGCAAAGTTGTGATGTGGGGCCTTTTATTAATAATGATGATGATGATAAAAAACATCTCAAACAACAACAAAATGTTTTAATGGTAAACATACTATCTATTAAATAGATTAGTGAAATTTAGTTAAATTAGCAAATAATGAAATGTTCAGTTTTTAAATTTCACAAGAGTTGGATCATGCAGGTTTTGTGTGGTTTCACCATTCATACCACCCTCCAACCAGCCCTGTTCACATCTGAGAATCAACATCTTTAAAAATATTGTTTTGGAACTGATTATTCTAGTATACAGTCGACCTCCCCTATAATTACGATTCCTATAAAACTACGAAAAAATATACGTATTTTGGAAATGTTGAGTCGGATTAGTCTAGAATCGATTAATTTTATGGAAGAAAACCTTTCAATCAGCCGTAGTCCGTAAACTTGACACGTGTCGGGCTGTGATTGGAACGACTTGTAAGAAATCGGATTCCTAATAAATTGGAACGTATCTATATCTTATAGGGGGGTCGACTGTAATTATGCATAAGTTTCATGATTTAATTTATAAAACTTATGTATATTTAAGAACAAGAATATACATGTCTTTCAGCATTAAAGTTGTTTACTTGGAAAGTTTTAATTACAAACAAATACTTTTGACATTTCAAAATGTCATCTTCAGGTTTAGTGAGTGCATACCGTTCAAATTAAAATTTAAGAAAAGTATTTTAAAATATTTGAAATGCACCGTTTACATAGTTTTTACATAAAATTGAACAGATGCAACATAAATGTTATAATTTTAACTTGTTACTATATAATTAATATATATTTCAGAACAATTCAGAAATTTGATTTATTAACATGGTTTAAATTAAAATGGCAGACTGTATATTTCACAATTTTAAAAAATATAGAAGAAAACTAAAATGTCTTCTACCATCCATCCTATTTTTTTTTAACTAATTGTGCAGAGGCATAGTCTCCAATAAAAGGTCGTCTCTGCAAAATGAAGAGATTAGACAGGATGGATGCTGGAAGACATTTTAGTTTTCTTCTATATTTTTAAAAATTATTAACATGAATTAATACAAGTATAAATATATATTTAAAATATTTATTAAATTCTGTTTTGTGTGTGTGTATGTAGGAAACTTTATTGATGTATAAAAGAAATGTTTAGTGATTTAATATTAAATTTTATATTTCAGATTTATTATATTAAGAAGAGTTTTTGTTATAATTGGATTGTTATATTTTATGCGTGGTATAACAATGTTTGTCACTCAGGTGCCAATTGCAAGCACTACCTATTTCTGTTCTCCCAAGGTAAAATAATGTTTTTATATAAAATTATAAACTGTTTTATAGGTATAAGAAAAGTTAAGCCTTTTCTACTATGTATGTTCTTGATAAAAATATCATTTTATCTGTTTTTGTAATGGATAAATTGTTCAATTACCAATTTATGAAATCCTCTTAATGAAAATTCATTATTATAAATATAATTGAGAACTTAAGATCCAAATGATTTTTTTCTGATATTTAAATAAAAAGTTGGTAAGTAAACACACTATCATATCAAGAACCATCAAGAATACTTGGAAATTTTAATGAAACAAACATTTTCTTCTCATTTTCAACTTCAGGTTACAAAGATGGAATGCAAAATGGGACACATTTAGAAAAATAGAACAGAACTTTAATCCAAAACTTCCAGCAGTTAGAAACCTGTTCATGCCCAGTGTGGAAGTAACTTAAAGGGAAAAATAAATCATTTACAACATATAACAATTAATAAAATATTTACCACATACAATAATTGATCAAAATAACAGTTATTATTAGGGGAATTATGCAAGCTTATATAATTCTCACAAAGCTGATATGGAATCCTACATTGGTAATATAATACATTGATACTCATCCAGAATAATCAGAATGCTTCCCACCCTCCTCATTTCTTTATTTCAGAAAAGAACAAAATCTTTAAATTTAGTTTTGTCATTCCTTAATATCAAAATTGCTCAGGTTTCACAATGAGTCTGTGCAGTCCAAATCCAGTAGATTACTTTTACATTTAATTGTTAGTAATAATGAAAAAATTTTATGAATGTAGTAATAAAACTTAACATTAATCAAGATTCTATAATTATTATTTGTAGCTATTTCAAGTTTGTAGCAAATTAATTTGTATTATTTAAAATAATTATTTTTGTATTTAATTCCTGATTTATTTTTGATTTACAGAAAAACTAATAAAAATTTTAAGTATTAAAAAAATTTCATTAAAGTATGCTTAAGAGTTAGATGATGAGGCCTGATAAGTAAGGTATATTGAAATATTATCCATGCACATTATCAGTAATAAAAATTAATTTACATAAATATGGTGAGATTTCAACTAATTAGGAAGTGACATGCAAAGTTGTGCCCTGTCTGCCTTCAGATTAATTTTGGTAATATAAATAAATAATTTTTTTAAATGTTTCAATATTTTTTCAATAAATGTTTCTTTGACATCAAATTGATTTCTCATTCATATTCCAATCACATATTAGCTACATTGGTAGTATATTATCTGGCAATCGAAACAAAAAACTCTTGTCACATTTTAAATTTCTTTATAGTTTGTTCTGTAATGCCCAATCAATGTATTGTTTTCATTCCCAACACCCACTAATCAGTTATGACTATTCCTGTAGTAAGTAGTTATTGTAACTGGCAAAACACAACAGACAATATTATATGAGTTATCTTATAGATGATGCCTGTTGTTCAATTGCCAACTATGAGATAATTCATAGTTGCCAGTCTACATGTTAATGGATTTTTCAGAATTGAAAATTAGTGTAAACTAGTTACAATAAGAATAAAAAATTGGCATCAGCTGTGATAACAAAATTAAGAACATGGTCTAATATATTGCTTCTAGCTCTTAATACTATTTGACACTTAGTCTAAAGCCCATATGTATGTGTGTCTATTTAGACTGTCAAATAAAAACATGATTATATAGTAGAGGCAAAATACAATTATGAACAATGCATCAAAACAAACATTTGGATTGTTTAACCAAACCAAGATAGTAAACTGCATACTGCTGTGGTAATGAAAATATTTAAAGCTTTCCCATTGCAGGATAAAAATTTAGATCTCTTATTTGTACCCATTGCATGACTGAAAGTCAGTACAATATTACCTTAAAAACCTTTTATAAATTTAGTCAAGAAAATTTGTGATAATTTAGAGTTAGTTTAGATCCATTCATAAAATTTATGTATCCAAATAAATTTTCTTATTTATATTTTTCTGATAAATGCAAAATAGTGATAACAATTCTCATAATATTAAAAAAAGTTAATAATTAGCAATATGAAGAAAATATTCTTAATAGCTGTCTTTTGAATTTAATATTTTAGACCACATTGCTACACTTACATATTCTTGATATATAGTTGTTACCACACTTGTATATAGTTTTTTTATAATAAGTTACAACTATATTCATATACAGTGTTCACAATAGATTTTATATGATACCTTTGTACTTTTGTCTGATTTTTATACACTTGTACAAAGTGTTTAAATATTTGAAAAAAATTCAAAAGTATAATAAAAAATATAAATAACATTTAATAATTATTAATATAACAAATTATATTACTAAGGTAAGTATTGCCATCTGTTGGTAATTTTTATAATTTATTGTTGGGGTGTTTTTTATGATTGTCAAAAAAATTACTGGTAGCTTAATCCCTTCATTTTTAACAAACAATACCGGTTGACTTAGACCTAACATTATATATAATAAAAAGTTTTTAAAATAAAATATCATAATGGATGGCTTCACATTCAGATTAGTGATTTTATTTATGTAAAGAAAAATGGTAAATTTACAGTAGAGCATCGTTTATCCGAAAGCCAGTCAACCGAAACGTCAGTTAACTGAAAGCGTTCCAGTTGGCAAATTTAAATTTTTGCAAGTGCTGTGGCGCTGTAACCTTTGGCTATGTATTGGGCTACTCCAATATTTTTTTTTTGTTGGTGTGTGTGTTTTAGCTGGCAGCACTAGCACTTTTGTGTAGTGTTTTTCTGAGGACTGTGCCCTGCTGAATCAAACGTTTTTGATACTAGATTAACTTCTAAAGTTTTTTTCCAATATATTTATTTTGTTTGTACAAAATAAAGAAATAATTTTTAATGATACAATAACCACGATTATTATTATAAAAATTTTCATTATGCTTAACATCAACAAAAATTCAATGCAAAGTGACACGCAACGGAGAAAAATTTCATCATGGGATAGGTTAATATATTTTTCATACATATTTGGTTATCCGAAAAATAAGTTATCTGAATGACCCCAGTCCCCAATTGATTTGAATAAATGATGCTCTACTGTAATACAAATATTTGTGTAATTTGCTCATTTTGAAGTCTTTTTTTTCAAGCATAAATCTGTAAATTTGATTTAATGTACATACTTATTTTAAATATTATTATAGTATAATTGTGGTTTAAATGCTTTTAATTCTATAATAAGTTATAAAAATTTTATCAAATGCAGATTCTTATATATATATTAATTTTTTTGTTTTTTACTTAAGGCCAATTCTACAAATCCTCTGTTAATAGGAAAACGTGTTTTACAATTGATGAGTGGTTTTGGTTTGTCAATTAATGGGCAGCATATCTTTTGTGGTGATTACATTTATAGTGGTCATACAGTAATTTTAACAATGGCTTATCTTATATTTCAAGAATGTAAGTAATACGTTACTATTTATTTTTTACAAAAAGTATTTTTTACAAACTTAATATTTAAAATAATGAAATATTCAATTGAAATACAATAACAATATTCATTATTATTAAAAAACTAATTTAAATAATTGTATTAAATAAATATCAAATGATTTTTAGAATGATTAACAAGGATATTCTTATGGATTAAAAGAGGATATAAATCTATGAACTTACATATACACACAAACTCCAGACAAAATTAAATATTTAAACTGTTCTTTTCTCCAGTTCTAGCAATAGTATGTGAAGTTATAAATCTGTGTATCTTGTCGACAGCATACAGAGTTCTCTTTGTAAAAAAGAGCTTAACAAGAAAAATACAAAATTTACTAAGATAAATTAGAATTTTATTGGTCAGAAATCCTGTTTCCATATGAAAATAATATCAATACATTATCGTTAATGTAATAAAATGCAGTTACACTATCTTGTTTGTGTTTAAAATTTTCTCTATATATTTGATATTTATAATGATATAGTTGTATTAGTTAAACTAACATGATCTATTATATATTGTGACATCATCCCAATATTCTCAATTTTAGTAGTCTGTGTCTTCCCTAGGTATATCATACTTTTCCTGTTAATAATGGAGTCATGCTGGTCATCTATTTAACTTTATTTAAGAGAGAAATTTTTAAATTGAAATAACCTGACTTCAGGTCAAAATCAAAAGTTTGTATATAGTTAATTGAGAGCTCCTGCAGCTAATCTTTCCATAGCTGTTCATGACTTTCATCTACCTCACTCTGTTTTTGAGATTAAGAAGGACAGACAGGCAGATATGACAGTGGAAATTTGTAGGTCTACAATTTTTGAAAATTGCAGCCCAGTAATATTTATAATCAATAACATTAGCAGTTATTACTTTTAAAGTATTGTTGCTTTTAAGCATTATCTCTTCTTATTAGCATTATTTTGTAATAAAAGCAACTTTCTGCTTTTAAAGTAATCATTATTTTAATTTTCTTTTTCTTATTTTTATATAATAATCATGAAAGTTTGGTTGTCATCTTAGGAAGACTGAAACAAGAAAATATTTATCTTCCAATAGTTATCTTTGTGTGGAATTCTAATTAAACAAACCATTTTTAAAAAATTTAAGCTATTGGGAATTAGGTACTGTTTAGTATTTCTCTAAAAGTAATATAGAAGAGTTATTATGATTATTAAATTCTGTTTTATTGTGAAATATTTTCAAGTGAATAGAGTATAAAGTTCTGTAATAATTAACTTACTCATAAATGAAATATGATTTACCTGAGAATTGTGTGTTTTCTTATTTTGAGTTTATTTTTATTTTATTCAATTACAGTAGAGCCTCGAAAACTCGGCACTCGATAACCCGGCACTCCAGATAACTCGGCCACACCCTGGCAGGGCAAAAAAATCCTTAGTTAATTAATTTTCATGATAAAGGCAGCTTTATGCCTCATAAAGTATTTTTCTGAGGTCTGTCTTATCAGGTAAATTACTGTACAGTGTATTCATTAATTTTCATTTTTATGTAGTAAAGGCTCTATGCCTTCATAAAAGACGTACTTTTCCTTTGTTTAAGGGTATTTGGGCAGTTTATTCTCTGTTGTATTCTGAAGTAAACAATACATACAAGTACAGTACAGTATTTTCTGAGGAAACACTCATACTTATTTTTTTTAACCCCATTCCTGATAACCCGGCATTTTCACAAACTCTGCCACCTTTCGGTCCACATTAGGCCGAGTTTTCGAGGCTGTACTATATAACCTAAACAAAATTAAATTCTTTTTATATGTAAATTGTTCTAGTTCAATTTACTTACTAAATATGAATGGAGCATAGATGCATGTTTCAGTATCCTATGCCGGCAGTCACCAACCTTTCCGACTTCATGGACTGCTATCATGGATTTTTTTAAAACGATACAGATATGTATAAACTTGTTTAATTATAACAAATTAGCATGAAGTTTGTTGCTGCTTGTTTGAAATAAGTATGTATTCTCTGCTCTTTTCCACAAAGGACAACAATCACACTGACAACATTATTTATTATTGATTATTTATTGGTTTATTGACATTATTATTTATTGATAAGTCATTTAATGTTTGGTTTTAGATTCAAATAAAAAAAAAACCCAGTGAGTGAGAAAAAACAACCAAGCATTTTGCATTTCTTTTTTTTTGTAATACTTCACATAACCTTGAGTTGATCAATGTTCAGATTTCTCCATGAACTACCAAAATTTTCTTGTATACCATCAGTAGTGCATGGATCAATGGTTGGTGATCGCTGATCTATTTTGCTTTTGAATTTATCTAGTTTTTTGTTACAAATACTCTTTTGTTACAAATACTCAAATGTTCTAGATCTTTGTTACAAATACTCTCACCAATTCTGTTGTAATGGCTTTAATTCACAATCTACTGAGAGTGCTTTTGCTCTGTTTTTTAACAACCTTTTTAAAATCTACAATACACTGATATCATGTATAATTATATACAAAAACACTCAGTATTTGCATAATGCAGGTACTTTCAACAATACAAAATCATTGTTATTGGGCTAATGTACATCTCAAATTTGGAACAGAACATCACTATATGCAATATAAAATTCTTGACAAATAAACATTTAAAATTTGCAATGGAACATGATGAGGTTCATGAGTATGAAAAAGAAAAAAAATTGAAAGAAAGGTGCAGTGGAACTTTCAAGACATTTTTATGCCATGAATCCATGGAGTGTTATAACACATGTGACTAGAGTAGTGGGTTGAAAAGTTTAAAAAGTGCAATTTGCAAGTTTGGAAGTTTCAAGTGTGGGTGTATTGCATGGGCACAAGATGCAAATGAAAAGTTATTTCCAAATAAATAATACTCTGATTGTCACAACACTTGAAGGGTAGTTTGGATTCACAACAGGTTGAAATTGGACTTTACAACTTGTTCAGCTCTGTGGAGCATCTAAATTTTATGATATTGTGTTGCTCTGCTAAATGACACTCCAGCATTCTGGTCAGGGTGTTGACATACATGTTTATATATATATATAAACATCCCAAGAACTTATTCTAAATTTAAAATTAAATTATAGTTACTACTATTGTTAAGAGATGACATCTAACTTTACTTATTTTAATCATGTAATTTCTAATTAATATTTTTAGCATATTTTTTCTCAATTTAATTTGGCTGATGGTTGGATGATTATTAATACATCAGATTCTTGGGATGTTTATATGTAGAGTTTAATGTGATGGAATGTATTTTGTCAAGTTGCTCATAAAGAATTGTGGGTTGACATATTTTTATAAACTGTAGATGAGCAACATAGAGCCTTTGTTCTGTTTCAGCAATGCTTTTTCATTTGTTTTTAACTTGTGGATCACATGTTTTAAATTTTTCAATGACAAAGCCATACTACCTTAGTTGTTTGTGTTATAACATTCCATGGACTCATGGCATTAAAATGTTTTGAGAGTTCCATTGCATCTTTTATTTTTATTTTTTTTTTTCTATTTTTTTTTTTACTTACCGAAACATTTGAGAATGGTTCTCTAAGCTTTTCTCAAAAATGAAAGAAACTAAATCATCATCTCCATATTAATGAAGTTGGAACAAATATACATGCTTTTCATGATCTTTATTCTTTAATTCTAATGTCTTTAGTGCTTAATACTATGGTCTCCAAAATATATTTCAAGCCCTTTGCCCTCTTTTCAGTTAGGCATTATTTGGTGATTTAACCTTAAATGTATATTTCTTAAGCTAAGGATAGAATGCAATTTTTTTTAACACTAATTAAAAGTTCTTTATTTAGTCTCAACATTCTATTTGAAACATCTAATTTCTTCTCACAATATGCAAATTGTGTCAGTGTAAGCCCTAAGGAACAATTGTATAATACACAAACATTATATAGTAATAATTTCTTCATGTATTGTCTTCATTGTATGTTGAAATTCCACATTTTTGTAGTTTTGAATTTTAGCACAAGATAAGAGCCTGGTTTTGTTCTAAATCAATTCTAGGTGTCAAACTGTGCAAAAGAAACTTAATATTACTAGTGAGATAAAACAATTGTTTTAAAGTAACTAGTATTGTTCATACAGACAAATACATAACAGACTAAATGTTAATCATGTATACATTTATTATTTTAATATACTATTCTTTTTAATTGAATTTTGTGTTTTAATTATCAAATTATTTCAAAAAACAATAAAATAATGCATGTTGAAGCAATACTATTCTTGTTGATTATAAGTTAGTTCTTTTGGAAAAAATTAATGCCAAAGGTTTACTTTTTATAATCCATTAATCCATGATAGTTTAAAAATCTATTACTGTTTCATAAAAACAAAAGATTGTGAGTGAATAATACTAATGCACTACAGTCTTCATTTTCTGTTTTGCTGATTAATATTTTTAAAATAACATTCTGATATTAATGAAGTAATGTTTTACTTGGGTATAAGATTGCAATACACAAAAAGACAGTACAGTGGGTGATTGGTTAACGAACATAATCCGTTCCAAGACTTTGTTCGCTATCCGAATTGTTCGTTAACCGATTATCGATTTACCATAGGTTTTAATGTAATTTAATTAATTCGTTCTGGAGACCGCCAAAAATAAAAAAATATATGCTTTTATACTACGTTTATTTATACGTAATAATAAAAGTATATACATGCACAGTCTTGCGTTTTTATTAGTTATGTTTTTTCCATTTGAAAGGGTTAAAGAATCTGTCTAATGTCGATTGCTTTTCTCTCTTCTTCAGGATTTTTTGTAAGTAATTAATAGGATTGCAATTGTAGAAATCCCCAAGCCTCAACCTGGTTTGGATGCCATTCTAAGACCATTGTTCTGACATCTTCCCACTTCTTCAAAAGATCTTAAATAGCAAATATCGGCATTAATCCTCTTTTTCAGAAGAAAACATATCTTGCTGAGTTTCCTGGTGGTCTTCAT